CTCCAATAATATTCCAAATTTGAAATCTTCATAAGTACACTTCAATTAGAATTCTTTAATTATTTCAACAAGGAATTTGGATTGCACCCAAATTCTAACAAACTTACTATACAAATATAAGCGACGAATTGTAATAAAGCTCAAGTTCACTGACCGTGAAAATTTGGTCAAGTTTAGTGACCACCATGGTGTCTGACCCTATTTTCTATACTTCTTATGTGATTTGAGCCTAGGGAAGATTTTGCACCACTGAACTGCTTCCATCGACATTCACTATGTTTGTTATTTTCCTTTTTCCTTCAGATACCAATGGAACCGGGTGACAGTATGTTTTGTTGTGTTCTATAAATGAAAAAAATTGCCCAAGAAATGGAGCAGGACCGCCCTTGTGGCTTCAATTAGACCATTCAAAAATCGTTGACACATCTTCGTTTCCACTTAGTTTCGACCCACCATATAAATTCATCAAGTGAAATTGTCCTTATGAGTCGATTGTTTTATTGATCATCTGTGCAGGTGGTTGATGCAATGGTGCCTCTGGCTGAGATGTTCCAGTATGTGAGTACTCTAAGAGGGATGACAAAAGGCCGTGCTTCCTGCACAATGCAGTTGGCCAAATTCGATGTTGTCCCTCAGCACATTCAAAATCAACTTGCCCGAAGAGGATGCTGTTGCTGCGTAATTTTCCCATGTTTTGAGGTGAAAAACTCTAAAAAATAGTGTGTTTTTGCAAAGATAATTCTTTTTTCTGCACCAGAAGGGTACATGAAATTCAGGTAAAGAAACAGACGAGCAATGAAAACTGTGCTTACATGTTCACTGCACTTGTGATAGCTGTGTTAAACTTCATCTATTGCACAATTCAAAATCTGAGGACAGCCAAAAGCCGGATCTTCCTCATTCTTTCTAAAAACACATTGAATAATTTCCATCTAGTTTTAAAGATGATTTTTACCTAGAATAATATTATTTACAGCCGCTCACTACCGTAGTCGTCCTATGTAGTATACATGTGACGGTTAATGATTTGATGAATGAAGCAATAAAAAATTACCACATTAATGCATCAAAAAGTATGACGACTTCTGTAACGAGCGACTGTAAATAGTATTACTTTTTACCTAAGTGTTTGTAACCGTAACATCAGAACATATACTCTTTCCTAATTAACTACTGTTGAGGACAGAGCGACTTGAAGAGTGCTAGACAAGTTTATATCCAACTGCAAAAATGGGTTGTTGAAGATATCAATCTTAAAGAGAAGTGGGTTACAATGATTATTTTGGGAATTCTGCTTAATTTATTATTTTGGGAATTCTGCTTAATTTGTTGTAGAACAAAACCAAATTTGGCTGCTTCCAGTAGTAGTTACTTGCAAGAAGTAAATTAAATCATCTATAAAGTCATTGAGAATTTAAATTATGTTTAATTTTTCAGTACAGGCCATAATCGGGCGTTGTGATTTTGGTTTTATCGATAAAACAATGATATTATCGATAAAATAATGTTTTTGTTTTCCGTGGATAAGAGGTTACCCGACTTCTGTAAACTAAACAAAGAGAAGGCAAATAACGAGCAATTATGTACTTGAAATATATGCTAATTTCTACCCTAAACTTGTACAAACTACTAGGGGTTTGTCCAATGTTTAACGTTCACTTAAAAGTGTGAATTCAAATTGGTAGGTCACTACTATTAGAATTCTTTGTGGACGAACCAAAACCCCCATTTGATTGTCATTATTAATAAAAAAAATGATGTTTTCAATAGTAACCGTTTAAAGAATGTGTTGTTAAAAAGTAGAGAAAAATTTGAGTTCATATGCAAAATATTTTATTTTGCGATTGTATAATTGAAAATGAGAATAAGAATTAATGAGTTTTGTTTTGAAGGGCAAGAAACCGTAAGTAAATTCAAGAGCTTTCGTCCTTTCTTTATTCTACTTAGCATCAACACAACTCAATTCAAGGATATAGGTTTATCTCGGGCCATGTCAGCCCTTGCACAAGCATATTGTATAACCTCTAACAACTAAAGATATAACTCTAGTGTGAGATCATCCCAGAAACCAAAACTTTTCCTTGGAATATGAACAATCAGAGAAGTCAAAACATTCTTCCTATTAAATGAAGGGATAGTACCAGACTTGAAACATATAGACAAATTTGAAAACTTGCCATTGCAATTATGAAAGAAAGGAAATTATCAGAATGTGAGACTAGTCATGAACTAATACGCACCAGAATGCTCTATTTGTTTCCTGTCCCGTTTATTTAACTTGAACAATTCCTGCACTGACCAGTTTCTGTATCTTGTTCATCACAAGAGGGTTCTTCATATGTTCCTGTGCAGCCTTGGGATTTTCCTGGATGTCACTCAGGACCTGTCGCAACAGAGAGGTCATGTGAGATACATAACCTGAACAGACCAAGGGGCTCTATTAAGGAATCGGTAGAGATTGTTGGTACTCCTTTCAATATCCCGAAGACATAGGGACGTGTAATTAAGAGCAATTATGATTCCATAAGGGCTAGTTAGTGGGTTGAAGATGGACTCGGGTGAAAGTAAGCAAAGCAGGAAAGGTATAGTGTGTTATAACCTTAGAATTCAACTAACACTGGAGAAATCATAATACCATACCTGTCTCATCACTGGATCTGTTAGAATGTTTTGAATCTCGGGATCTTGCATTCCCTTTGCCTACACAAGTGGAGGAAGTAAAGTCACAATTTCAATATGTTTGTATCAAGAGATCATGATATTGGAAGAAATATATCAAACCTGTCTCTCTTTCAGCTCGTCGGGAGTCAAATCTCCACGGCTAGCCTTGTTGATCTGCTCTAAACATCTGTGGAAAGATATCACAAAAGCTTCACTTAATTGCAAAGTTCAAAATGCTGCATTATTGTCATCCACCAAATACCAAATCAAAAGAAAAAAATTCTTAGGATAAAAAAAGAAAAAAAATTCTAATTACCTCCTGACACCATCAAGCAATTCATGGTTCTGAGGGTCATGCTTTAACCCTTCCTGGTATGTTTCCAACGCCTTCTCATACTCTTTCATGAAGAACTGGACGGTACCTTTTCTTGTATAACCTTTTGCAAATGTTGGATCAAGTTCAATACATTTTTCAGCATCTTTGAGACCCTCAGGAAGTGCCCCAAGCTTCGTGTAACAGGCAGCTCTGTTGCTGTATGCCTGAGAACTCAACAATTACACACATCCACATGAACCAAGTCTTTGACAATGGGTGAATTGTGTGAATATAGGTATAAAAAATTCAGACACTAGGAAAATTATGTGATACCTTTGGATCCTTCGGATTCCTCTTTATCGCTTCTGTGTAGTGTTTGATAGCATCTGGATACCTTTGCTCTTTGAAATATTGGTTCCCTAAAGTTTTTCCATCAATAATAAATTATTATTGCACAAGTAAAGACGATGTTAAACAACCAACAAAATAGTAAATACCTTTCTCGCGTTCCTCATCAGCTATTTGTGGGTCAAAGTATTCTTGTTGCTCTTTTTCCTTTTTTGCTTTCTCAGCATCATTAAGCTTCTTCAATGTATCAGGGGTGCGATGCTCTGTAAGTGCCTTTTGGAAAGTCTCTATGGCAGGTTCATAGTCTTTTGAACATTTCACCATCTTCACCAAGGCAGAACCCTTTCTTGTCAGAGCCCTTGCTATCATCTTGAAGTCAGACCTCAGTTCTCTTCCCCTTTCAACAGCTTTGTCACAATCTTTAATGCAATCCTCATACTGAAATAAGTAACAAGCATATGAAATGAGCTTGGCCTGCAACGTATTAAATATTCCACACTTGATACGTTTTAAGAAAAAGATAACAATGGACATCTATGGCCTGTTCCTTGGGCACAACACAGATTATTGCCATACTTGTCCTATCAACAAAGTGAAAAATACCGTAATTCACTTTCTCTAAGCTAGAGTTTATTTCTACAGCCCCCTTAATCTCTGTTTTCCCTAATTTCTCCAATTATGTGTCAATGGTAAAGAAGGTAACTATATTGTCAATGTCAATGCAAAAACTTGAAAGTAAAAAACTACACTGAGTTCTGCTTCAGACAAAGTCCGCAGAGTGTTTTAAAGGAAAAAGAAAAGCATGCCTAAGTATAGAAACAGACAAATAAAGAAACGTAAAATAAAAACAAACAAACAGCTAAAGGATTGTTAACTACAAACACATTACCCAACAAACGCACCTATACCCCATCGTCTTTGCAAGAAAGGGAGGGAGATGAAGTAAGTCATGAGAAACCAAGATTATCCTAATAACTCTTAAAACCTCAATGGTATTCTGAATGTCAATCACAGCATACCACTCAATCACCATCACATGGCAGCCTCTCGATTTCATGCAGTCATCCCTAATACATGAAAACACACAGCAGTCTTGATGAATTAGGTTTATTTGCTGTTCCTATTTTGAAGTTGGTATAAAAGGCACCACCCGACGGTTTGGTGCTCCTTAGGGCTTAACAAGAGATATGAACTATATCCTAAACAAAATCCTATTATATTCTAACCACACGATACCCAAAATGATGAATCTGGTACAGTAACCTACAAGACGAAAGGGCCATCATAGACATGCTGAGGGTCAAACAAAATACAAAAAAGGTTAAGATTGGGGCTTTCAAATCCAAGTCCCCACGACTTAAAAAGTCAAATTTTTTGCACGTCACAGCTTTCCAGCACAAAAATTTTAGTTCTCAATTATGCTGAGCAACCAATGCACCTTTCTTTTCTATGTTACTTTTGACCCTAGTACTTCCTCCGAGTCATAAATCGTTATCATAAAAGAGGTGCTTCAGTTCAACAAACCTTTCCAAGCTACAGCCCCTAATCCTCCATCAGCCTTGTTATGATGAAACCTCACCATTGTGACATGCAGAAACATGTGCTGGATCCATCAACATCATAAAAGATCCAAAACGGTGCCCTCCCCCCTCTCCCAACGATACCCAAAATGATGAATGCAGTGCAGTAATAGGCAAGAGGAAAGGGCCATACTAGAACTGCAAGGGGTCAAATGAGAAACAAAAGGGTAAGATTAAGGCTTTCAAAACTAAGTCCCCACGAGTTCAAAAGTCAAAATTTTTCCAGCACAATAACCGTAGTTCACAATTATGCTAAGCAACCAATGGACCTTCCCTTTCTTGGTTACTTTTGTCTCTAGTACTTGCCCTGGGTCATAAATCTCTATCATAAATGATGTACTCCAGTTCAACAAACCTTTTCTAGCTACAGCCCCTAATCCTGCATCAGCCTCATTATAAAGAAACTTCATCACCGTGACATGCATAAACATGTTCAAGATCCATCAACATCATAAATGATCCAAGAGGATGCCCCCCACAATACCTAAAATGATAAATGCGGTGCAATAACTGGAAAGAGGAAAGGGCCTTAATAGAAATGCAAGGGGTCAAATGAGAAACAAAAGGTTAAGATTAGGGATTTCAAATCTTAGTCCCCATGATTTCAAAAGTCAAAATTTTCACATGCAATTGCTCTCCAGCACAAGAACTTTAGTTCCCAATTATGCTAAGCAACCAAATACACCTTCCTTGTTCTCTATTACATTTGTCTCTAGTGCTTGTTCCGGGTCATAAATCGCTATCATAAAGAATGTACTCCAGTTCAATAAACATTTCTGTGCAGTGTTTAAAAAGGTTAAATCAGTACTGAGGCATTTTCTTAGTTACGCAAGGAGTAAAGCCTCAGCACATTTTGAGGCATATAAAACTTGCCGTGAATCCAAAAATAGTATATAAAAATTCAAAAATAAGTGTATAATAATCCATAAACAAACTTTAAAATTCCAAAACAATAAAACAAGCTATGTATCATTGCAAACACACACAATAAATCAATACAGTTGCAGCATAGACAGAAAGATAAAAGCCACCCATATGATCACTAGTCACTATTACTAAATCAGGCAATAAAATTACTAATTCCGCTGCCAAATCTCAGCTTCTGTAACTTGCTGTCGTGGCAGACGTTATTTCGCCATCACCGGAGTGCTGCAATTTTAGAGTCATGTGCATTTTTTATTTTTTTTGGGTTTTCGCTGAACTTTTAATTTATTATTGATTATGGCTAATTAACAAATAATCAAAGAATCAAGATAGGTTTTAATATAAATAAATTTCCAAAGCTAACGGATTATTATGCATATTAAAATGTAGTGGATTCCAAAGCAGGTCAACTAGTGAATTTGACAATTTGTGAGGTTAAAAAATAAGTGAGACCCAGGTGATTTAAAAGGGGCACACGTCTCTCATTGTCTGAGGCCTGCACCTCAATCAATGCAGGCATAATCTCCTCATTAAGGCCATTAAATATTCGTACCACAATTTGATTTTTGAGCGCCTCTCATTGAGATTAAGGCCATTAAATATTCGTACCACAATTTGATTTTTGAGCGCCTCTCATTGAGGCGTACCTTGTTACCGCCTTTAAAAACTATATTTCCGAGACAGCACATAATCCTCCACAAGCCTCATTATGAAGAAACTTCATCATCATGACATGCATAAACATGAGCAAGATCCATCATTCTAAAAGATCCGAGCAAGCGCCCCCACGATCCCAAAATGATGAATGAAGTGCAGTAACTGACAAGAGGAAAGGGCAATAATAGAAATGCAAAGTGGGTCAAACAAGAATCAACAGAAGGGCAAGATTAGGGCTTTCAAATCTTCCCCACGAATTCAAAAGTCAATTTTTTTGGGTGCAATTGCTCTCCAGCACAATAACTTTAGTTTCGATTAAACCAATGTACGTTTCTTTTCTCGGTTACTTTTGTCTCTAGTGCTTGCTCTGGGTCATAAATCACTATCATAAATGAGGTCCTCCAGTTCAAGAAATCTTTCCTAGCCACAGCCCGTAATCCTCCATCAGCCTCATTAAGAAGAAACTTCACCACCATGACATGC